ATTTACTGTTCTGATTCGGAAGGGCGAAGTGAGCCAAACTCACCCTGTAGCAAAGAGACTGCACAAAGTCTGTGTCTCCTTACAGTGGTGCAGGCCCTGGTCTCACGAGCCACATGGAGGTGAATTACAGCCAGTAAGAATAAGGGGTTTAGTTATTGGGCCCTCCTGAGGCAGACATTCATCTTTGTTCCTTTCAGCCTTATTTACCTGAACATCCCTAGGCAGTTTTCAGAGTAATGCAAAGTTTTATTAACATGCTTGCATAGATAAGCTTGTGCAGTGTTAGCAATAAGGGCATGGTCCTGCAAAGTGCTGAGCTCTCTCCGTTCCTATTGGTATCTAAAAGTGTGAGAAGAGAGACTGCACCCTCCAGCAGAGACTCAAGGAAGTGTCTCGTTTACTAACAGGTTTCAACTAATGAAATCAATGAGTTTACTACTCTGAGTGGTAAGCAATTCTGAAAATCTAACCATTCACTTTGATTCCTATATGTATACTTAGATGCTTAGATTTTACGTGCCTAAATTAAAAAAGTATGAATCACCTAGCTTACGAAAGTCAATGCTTCAATTTTGCACACTTTGGTATATTCTGCACTTCATAGGAAAACATCAATACAAGATTGTTTTCAAGAGATGGCCCAATATTTTCAGAGATGTTGTAGTTGCTTGATGTGTTTAGGAATTTTTAGCTATTTTTAGGAATTAATTCTAAATATTAGATAGTACATTATGTAAACGAAGAGTTTTCCACAAAATTTAAGATGTGCTAATCAGAGTATGTTAAAATGGGGATCCGATCATATGCTTCTTACAGAATTTCTGTTTCACACATTCCAAAACAAAGCGAGCAATGAGGGAAAAAGATAGAGTGCAAACTGATGTTAAGAAATTAATATAGTGACAATTATAAATTAGGCATAAAATATGTAATAAGGGAAAGACTGTTAACATTATATCTATGCAAATTAAATGTTTCTAATTCTCATCATATGTCTTTTATTTTAAAGGTTATTTGCCCTAATTCTATGATTCAAGTGTCACAAGGTCTGATTTTAGCTGCTTTGACATAATTTATTTGACAGCTCTGTGTGTCATAAATATATAATGTAACAAGGAAAGGTATCTTCATTGTTGAATGAAAACATTAATGTGTCAATACTGTGTATGAATACTGTTTGACATTTACTAGTTACAAAAATAAAATATACAGTATGCCTTGAAAATATGGCACTCATGTTTGGAAGATACTTTCTTTGTCTACAGAAAGTAGTGTTTCATAAATAAATGAACGAGTACAGCTCTAGAGTGGATGCTAAATGGTGCTTTCATCTTTAAGATGGATTTTTAGTGAAGATCACGTAATCGGTATGTTTCCATATGTTTTACAATGCATTTAATTATTTTTTTCTTGTTTCAATTCTGTGTATTAGCATATGCAACAATAAATTTATACAGAAATAAATTGGAATATGAGACAATTTACATGTGGAAGGAGGAAAATGCCCTCATTATTTCAATACTTAGCAGATTTTTTTTTTTACATTCTGTACTAAC